AACTGATGCTTATGCAGAACATAGAATAATAGGGGGTAGAAGGGACTTTGGAGATCTTCTAGTAGTCCAACATCTGCTTGAGCAGGAGACCCTATACCATGCTGGACAAATGGCTGTCCAGTCTGTTGTTGAAAACCTCCAGTGATAAAGTATCCACAACATCTGGAGGCAAGTCATCCTACTGTTTAATTGTTTCACTGTCAGGAAATTTCTTCTTAGTCCTAGGTTAGCTCTCTCTTTAATGTTCTTCCACCTGTTATTTCTTATTCTGCCCTCAAGTGCTTTGGAGAATAGATCAACCCGTTCTCTGTAATGGGCAGTTAAGTACTGAAAGACTACTATCATATCATTACTACTCTTTCTCTTCCTTAGATTAGAAATGCCTAGTTCCTGCAACCGTTCTTCATATGTTTTACCCTCCAGTCTCCTAATCATCTTTGTTGCTCTTCTCTGCCCTCTTTCTAGAGTCTCAACATCTTTTTTGTATCATGGTGACCGGAACTGGATGCACAATTTGAATTATGGTTTCATCAATGCAGTATAAAGTAGTACTGTCACTTTGCATGGTCTTGAAACTATTCCTCTGTTAATGCAGCCTAGGCGTGCTTTGGGTTTTTTTCCAAGCTTTTTTTGCGAGATTAGTTCTCCACCTGAGTCTTGGGTTTGGTGCACATATACAGAAATTACTGTTCCCCATTGCCTTCTCAACATCAGGATTTTGGGAGGAAGAGCAGCATGGTCCTTGAGCAGTACAATAAAGTATGCATAAATTATGACTTCCAGACATCTTGGAATGCCTGACACAGCATTCTGAGAGGAAAGTACCTATTTGATGCAAAACCTCTACAGTTGTTGATACTTGTAGACAAAGGCTTATGAGTTCTCCAAACATAAAAGACTTGTGTTTCTCTTTGAATCTTGTAATGTTGCAATATAGAGATGCCTAGATGGATTATAAATTGCTTTGCAAGCATTAACCCACCTCATATGAATAAGCAGTTGCCTGTCATTTTCTTCCTTAGCTGAAATTTTCCTAACAAAAGGCCTTGTTTGCTTTGAATTGCTTTGAACAAATATTCAGGACCATTAACCCTGTTCTGTTCTCACCTTAAGCTAACACCAGAACAGAAAGCAGACCAATCCTTAAGAAAACAATGCTTATTAGTTAAGTAAAAGAGAGTGAGTTTTGCTATATATTTAGTTGTCTATTATTTAGACTGCGTACATGTACAGGAAAAATTCCAAAGCCAGTTTTGACCCAATTGCTCAGGAAATATTAAAATCAATAAGAATTTAACTAGAGTTTTAATTACTATAAAGAATAAGTAAGCTACCATCACTAAGAATTCTTTATAATATTTATTTTAATACAGATAACCTACACATTGGATTATTTTGTATAGGTTTTTGCTTGCTATTAGGTTCTGAAAAGAAATGTGCACTCACACACAGACAGAAAATATCCCTATCTGTCTGGTTTTAGGCTTCCTCGCTAAAAATATTACGTTCTCCTGATAATAAGATTTTTATCCTGCTTTTCCTGCAAAGTGAAAAACAGAGTTTTGCTCTCAGCCACTGCCTTTATGCTCACAACAGCCCAGGTAAAGGTCAGATCCAAGGCCTTTATTGCTGTCCCTTCCTATCATTTGTTATCTGAAAACCAGATTTATATTGGGTGATCTTCAAATGGAGGGCTTGTCAAGAACAAGACACCACCATGCCATTCTATCCACACCGAAGAATGAAACAAAAGTATTAGCTGGCCCGTTATCCTGCACATAATCTGTGAATTTTAAAGAGAATGAACTTTGTTTAAAAACCTCCTGTCTAATGTGGGGAGACGATAATTTGCTTGGCCTAGTTAACCAAGTAACAATTTTTATTGTTGACGCTGCTGTAAGCTATTATTTCTAGTATCTCCAGAGACTTCATAGTTAATGGGAGAATGTGTTTGTTCGTATTTATGTGACTAAAAAGACAACTCCTCAGTTAGTTTGACTGAAAGTTGCTTCTAGTTTATAGTTGTCATTTTCCAATTCCGTGCTGTCATTTCCTGCCCTCTTCCTCTTCTGTACCAGTATTATACCCTTCACATTCACAGCAGAGTCCTTCAGGGTGGCTACAATTACAAAGCTAACAATCTCTCCCCACAGCGAGTTGAACTGCTTCCTGCCCACAGGGTGCACCTGCGACCAAAAGTTTGCTCAGAGTAATTCTAAATAAGGACTTAGCTTTGATGCTAAGAGATGCTGGGTTAAGAGGGGGTAGGGATGAGAGAAACAGAGAGAGTCCCCCTTTTTTGTTCCCTGATAAATAAATAGGGTTCTGCAGATAATGCAAGTAATTGGCTTTGGACAGGCAAGATATTCAACATCATTTTGCTCCCAATCTTGATCCCTCCAAATAAGTTAGACTCCAACTCTCATTACTGGATGTACTCTGGGGGCACACAGTGAAGGAAAGGAGCCTGTAACACTTCGACATTAGCATAAGAAAGGACGTCATTGAGAAGTATTATCTTCTGTTTGAAGAATGGGTGGGTAGCGATAGGGATTGCCTTGTATACACTCCTGAAATTAATGCTAAGCAACAGAAGCACTTAGATTAACTTTTAGGCACCTGTACAAAATCACCTATTTTCCCACCCCTCCCCTATCTGATGAATACCTGCTTTCTTATTCAGTGCATTCTGCTTTTTTTGATCAGTATACTTTCCCATGTCAACATTGTATGAAATGCTTAGACCCAGAACAGTCAGGGAGATAAATCATCGCCGAGAATGGTTATTAGACTTGGAAAGCTCTAGTGTAGTTTGTTATTCAATGTTTAATTTTAATTAACTTTTGAGTTCTTTAAAAATATGTACAGTGGCCTTCCTGCGCTTATAATCTATAGTGAACAAGGTTGCAAAACAGTTCTAATATGTTCTGAGCTGCTAGCTAAAGACCTCTGATTTGAATTTTTTCCCCAAATAATGGATAAGAAATTTGGGGAATAGGCAGCTATAAAATTTAACACTTTAATCAAATGCTGCCAGTGGGGTTTGTTTTCTGTTGTTGTTTGTTATGGTGTGTTGCCCATTCTTGGATAGCAAGAATCAAAGCATGTCTGGAATGCAGCAAACTCTTCTAACAGCATAGTCTTGGGTGTGTTTGTTTGAACGTATGGCAACCTGCTTTGAGGTATAAATACATAAACATAAGTACTGTAAGTGTGTGCGTGTGTGTGCATTTGAGAACGACTTTTAATGTTCATAGTGGGGTTTTATTTTCTTGCTTGAACAGGTATACAATTGTACTCTTTGACTGGTAAAGATGGTATTTTTTTTCTTCATTACCTTTCGCGGTGAGCCATTCATTTCTCCAATCATCATATATAGTTTCATAAGCCTTTTTTAGTTCTTAAAAGTAAACGTGAAATTAAAAACCAGAGTTTAAATTGATCCCCCATAGGGATGAGAATCTGATTCCCATTGTCACCAGACTCTTGAGCATCGTATCCCACTAACCGACTCACTGACTAACTGACTATGTGTCTGCCCATCTCTCTCATAAAGGGATTCTGTGTGGTGTACAATAAAATATTAAAACATAAAAACAAAAGTTAAAATTTAAAAAGAGGCAAGGATGATTAAAAACATTAAAAAAATAATTAAAAGAAAAAGGGAAGGCTTTCAGGGCACCAACCAACCCACCCCATAGTTGCATGCTTCTTATGTGAACGGCAAGCAAGGCCGCACCACCCTGTCTTTATATCTTTCTGAAAGGCCAGGAAAGTGGAGCCACACAGAGTGAGGACAAAGGCAGAGAAGGTGTTCTTCCTGGACCCTGCCAATCAAAATTCTTTAACTGTCAGGGTCCGCAACATATTTTCCCTGCCTGACTGAGTGGGATTGGACAGTGCAATAGTACAAAGACTGTTCCGTAGATAACCTGGCCTCATGTTTGATTAATTCTCTTTCAGATTACTTGAAAGACGAGTTGGACAACTATGTGAAGCAATTGCAGGTAGTCAAAGTTGTCCGGCAGTTGGAGAGAAAGGGCTTAATAACTGCCCGATTGCTTGGTGCCAGTGTTGCCAAGGGTGATGTCCTCACTTTCTTGGATGCTCATTGTAAGTAATAAATCTCTTTGTTGATAAAGTTTGCCTTTTTTCCCCCTTGACAAACAGTGCCAGTTCATAGGCGTTTATGTGTTAATTCAGTGTCTCCCAACACGTCTTACAGTTACCAAGGTTGAGAAACACTCCATTAATTGGTTGATCTTGGGTTGGTTCACAGAGCCATATTTGCCCCTTGATCAATCTCCATCCACTAATGAGCAGCCCATGCATTGAATGGGTATGGCAGACTTAATGCTACCGATTCTGATAGTTGTGTCAAACATAATAACTTCAGTGAAATCAAACAAGTGAATAGTACTTGAATGACCTAATTAACAGACTCTACTAAGAATGCTATTTTATTATTCAAGATAATAAAACTGCATCCAAAATGCTTAGATGTAGTTTGGATGCATCATTCCATCAATCATCGTTCAATATTTAATCGTAAAGGAAATGAAGTAGAGTTGCTAGGAGTCAGGCACCTACTGTATGCATTCAATGCATTATTCATTTAATGTACATACAAGTGTCTCTGTCCTGGAGGCAAGTTCTAATTCTCTTGTATAGACTATGTGGTATAAAAAAAACTTAGATAACTTTGATTCCCAGAACGTTCAGTAAATTTACTTCATTTCCTTTACGATTAAATATTGAACGATGATTGATGGAATGATGCATCCAAACTACATCTAAGCATTTTGGATGCAGTTTTATTATCTTGAATAATAAAAT